TTCTCCACCTCGTCCCATCCAGCCTTAAAAAAAATGTTCAAGAAAGAAAACTTTACACACTCAAATAAATGCAAGCGTGAAGCGTGTGCGAGAGAGGACAGGAAATGAAGCGAGGGGTCGCCGGGCTACCGGATGTAGCAGGACAAATCGAAAACGCCACAAAAGAAAATAAAACCCCAAAAAAAGAAGCCCCAGCGAAAACTGGGCAAAACCAAACAATTTGCGCTGCAAAGCAGCAAAAGTGTCTCAAAAGAATCAACCACTAAAACTAACCCAGCCAAACCATAAAACACGTAAGAGTCCTCTACTTGAGAGCAGCCAACTAGACGACACCCTGTATACATCGCAGAGGCTAACCTTTGAACTTCGTTTTAAGCACACACACACATATTTTTTATATGTGTGTTATATGTATTCTTCCCTTAACCTCACGCTTTTGGAAATGCACTCTTAAATAACTTCGGAGCATGTAGAACGATCTTTAAACATTTTTCAAGCCTTGAAAACTTCATAGAAAAGAGTTTATTTTCCTAATTCCAGGGCTATACCCTAACGTTTTGTTTGTTATCTACAGGAATGCTAACAAAAGTGAAATATTCTCTTGGCTGTTAATGCTGACCAAGAATATAAACTTTTTGGCGTCGGAGAAGCTTCCTTTTGCGTATTAAAAACATTCTTACAAAACGATTATACCCTGCTTCCCCTTTCAATGGGCACAAGGAATGTAGAAGATAAAAAGTGTTCTAGCAAAAAAAGAGTTTCGAATACTTATGTATTTTTAAGCACACTGAAAGATTCAGTATTGAAATAATTTTGAAGCGACTTAAATAAGGACTTCGATATTTATGCTACAAGTAAAAAGAAGTTTTTTATAAATCGTAAATACAATTGTTTTTATAAGCAAAACTTACAGGTTACAGAACTGCAAATGTACAACAAATTGTTTATTTAAACCGAAATGTTGGGATTTAGAGATGGGCTCAGACTGCGAAATTGAGTTTCGTTTGGGCTCGGACACAACCTCGTAAAAACTTAACTGAAATATTGGGCCATATCGAAATTTCGCAAATAATTTAAAGAGACGCTTCACTCACATATTAAGCAAAATCCAAAAAAGTGAAGTGAATCCACAAAAAAAGATTTAAACGTGTTTATGGAAGTTTCGTGCTAGGCTTTTAAATAACTGTCACGCTGGTCCAGGCACTATAAAAATAAGTGCATAACCCACGGTTGTTCCATATATTTGAAGGATGAGCATTTCAGCATATAAAAGAGAATCGAGGCAAATCTTAAATAGAACCAAAAACGACCCCGGGGAATACAAAACTAATATTCATTCTGAATCACCTAGCTATATGTTTGGGAACAACGCGGAATCTGGCTATCTAGATCAATCTAAAATTATCTTAATGCGCGAGAACTCATTTCTATTGCAACCAAAAAAGTTTTCGTTGCCGAATTTGTTGCAACCTTGCTTCACGTGGCAGCTCTGCCCCCCTCTCGCTCTCTCCCTCTCTCTCTCATTCACAGTGTTGCTGTTGAATGTTTGTCTGGATGTCGCTGTTTGTGGCAGCTTTCCCAGCACTGCGCTGCATAGCAGTGCACAAAAGTTAACGTATCCTGGGACCCAAAGTTGCGTTGTCAACAAGCGAATGCAAAAAGTGAACGCAACCGGGCATAAAAACGGCTACCAGCGGGAAGAGCGAATGTTGCAAAGCGTGAAAAAATATCTAAATCCAACATTAATGAAAAACTTTTTGCATAATCCATGTCGCTGACGATGGGAGCAGCGGATGCCGTTGATGGTGATGCCGGAGCTCGAGAGAGGCGGCGCAAACGGCTGGAATTGGGATTGGGGTTAGGGAGACCAAAGCCACCGAAAAATCTAGAGAATCCAGCCAATGCCATCGGCTATAGACACTGGCAAAACTCAGCCAAGTAAAATACTTACCGCCAAAGAACCAAAACCTCAAAAAAAAAAGTCTGCAAAAGAGATTCAAATTCAATGGGTAAGCTATTCAAATGGCAGTTTGGTATGCGGCTGTGAGTTTTAAGGATTGAAGGCCAAGCGGCTTAAAAGACTTTGAAGGTTATGCCAGAAGCAACCGATAGCTTGGAGTGCGCCATGGAAAAGCTGGTTATAAAATATGCCCAAGCTAGATTTTAAATACAACTAGGCTGACTGAGCATAAATCTAAAATTAGCTCTATAAGACACGAATCTATGTACATTAAATTATTTGTTCTTATTATTACCAAATCGTGAGAGCTAGAAAGCTGAAATATCTACCGTAGTTACCTTATGTGATGTTGAGTATCCGGCTTCCATCGAACGCGATCTCAGCCTAACAAAGGCCGGAGATGAGATCAACTTCTTAAGCAGCCGCTACGCCGATGAGCTGCTGCGGCATCCCATCACAGAGAGGCGTCTCCAAAGTTTACACCCCTGCGACCTAGCTACGAGGTGAATTATCTAAACACACATCTAAACACAAACAATTTTAATTCCATTTAAGCTAACAAACATTTTTAGTATACTTTACATCGAAGTCTTTCGCTTGGTAGAGAACAGAAGATACTGATCGATCCCAGCGTTTAGTAAAACAAATTGAGTTCTAAAAAAAAATCATAGGCAAAAAATCCAGGTATCGTTTTGAAATATCTTTGCAAATCAAATTATATTACTCACAGGTGAAAAATAGATGAAATAGTGTTTGGAGCTATAAACTAGAGCCCGACCAAAGCTGTAAACTATATGTATGTTTTATTCTCTGACCAGTTTGGCGAGCTTATAAAAGGTCGAAGTCTACACAAAAATTTATTTCCTAAAATTGGGAAAAGAGATCTTTCAACAAAAAATCATAAGATACTCAAAGTATCATTGAAGCTAATTTAAAGCTTCCGGCAAAGTAATGAGGGAGTAGGGATCAAAGCACTATATTGAATGCTTTAAGCTAAAATAATTCTATTAGGCTGATCAAATTCTTGTTCAGCTTAAAGTCTTCAAGCTTGAAGCATTCAAAGATTTTGCTTGTTGCAATACTCGGGGCTAAACGATTTGAATTTAACAAATCTTTTAATACAGACTAAAATTAACTTTTACTGCCACATTGAGCCATAAGCACTTCGAATGGCTGCTGGAACACAACCTCAGCCTTCGGACAGCCCTCACAACTAACGTTCATTTCTCATTCATATATTCAGAGAGCAGTCTTGCAAATCGGGAAATAAACTTCAAAGCATTTAACAGTTGTTCACTGACCAGCAGTGACCCACGCAGTGTGCCCTATCGACCCGCCCATGCTCCCCCTGCGATGTAATCTACACAATGCCACAGCACAGTTTTAATTGCTGTGACACTGCAGATACGGCTGACTGGAGCTGGAAATTGGTCAGACTAGGCAGGTGGGGGCAGATTTCCTGCTGCTTCTGATGTTGCTGTTGCTGTTGTCGTTTTCTAATTTGATAAAGATAAAAATCATTTTATAAATGCCGACGATGGCATTGGCGACGTTGCCATCAAGTGTATGCCCCTGACAGGCGGGTCCTGGGCCAGGATATTCTAGAATACTCAGCTCTCGGCGCTGCTTCGTTCTTAATTGAATGCTCATTTCAAAGAGGACTCTGCCAGAGTTGCCAACGTCGTCGCTGTCGACTTTAATTGCATTTTTATTTCATTTCCCAGCAATTACCGCTGGTTCGTGTTCGAATTTATAAGCTCCAGCTGGTCGGCAGCACCTCGCACCTGTCGACGGAGTCGCCTTCGCAAGAGTCGCACCTGTGGCAACATCCAAAGCTGTAAAGGTCAATCGTTGTGTATCCACTGACCAGCTTTGCCATATGTGTGTGTGTGTGTGCAACTAGTTGAGCATTGCGGTGTCCTGCTGCCGTAATTAAAGATTGCCCTGGGCCAGGCCAGGACTTGGGCGCGTGCTCCTGCTGCAGCTGCTTGTTGTTGCTACATTTTAGCAATATTTATAGTTGTTGCTGCGCTTTGGCATTGGTCTTAGTGGAAGCCCAAGTTGTCGTTGCCAGTTGTTAGCAAAGCAATTAGCATGAGTTTGTTATTGCAACACGGCAGCGGCAACAGCCGACTGCCCAAGTCGGGAGCAGCTAGGACATGCTGAAACTTTTGGGTTTTACAGTAAGCAACCCCCCGGTATCCCATACCCCAATCGGAAGTAAGAATTAAATTTATTTACTCTGCTGCTTGGGCAAAAGTGTTGGCATATGGCCATGTGGCATTTAACTCTTAACAACAAATCAAATGTAAGTGAAACCTGCAACCAAGGGGCACAAGCGTTTGCAAGCAAGCACCTGAAAACGATTCGACGAAAGGAGCTAAGCCCTAGGGGAATACAATTTTAATTTTTCACTAAATGCACTTTAAGTTTGTTATTGTAAACTTTTCTTTCGTGTCAAATTCTGTTAAAGTCTATTTACAGCAAGTGCTATTATAACTCTCTCTTCGTCTATCTGATTAAAATATTTATATTAATTACAGAGATCATCATTTTTTTCGGTATTTTTGCCCCCCGGCACTACATCTGCAATAATTTATTGTAAATATGTCAAAAGTAAAAACTTGACATGGGCGTGGACAACGTCTTGAGAAGCTTTGGCTAGAACGGGCAATCTTTTAAAAGACCTGATTCTGAACTCATTGAAAGAAGAAAGCATCTCCAACCAGATATGGAATATCTAATCTTGTTCTTGATGTGTCTGTCCGTACGTATAGACGCGTCGATCATTGATCCACGTAATGCCTGAGCAATACGAGTTTATTTTAAACCAAACTCAAAGGTCATCTACGCGAAATTTGAGCTGAAAGTGAAAGGTTACAGATGGTATTTTTACTCGAATAAACTCTGCACCGAAACGAAACATGTTTCTAAAAAATAAGTCAAGCACCATAACGTAGCCGTGACCGTATAAAAAGATCTGTCACACTAAAATGAGCGCAAAAAATACCATGTGAATCTGAAACTTATCAGATGGAAATGTTCGCTATGAGGACAACGATCGGATATTTGTTGCTGGGTTGCCTGAGCTGGACCGCTTTTGCGGTGCCGATTAATCCGGATATTTCTCTTGGGCTCTACCAAGGTGACATGGCTGTGGGCTTCAAACGAAATGGATTACTATCACCAGATGAGCACTGGCCCAATGGCGAAGTCTTTTATAAGATAGATGAGCAGTTCAGTAAGTTTCAAACATATGGCATGCAATCCTTACCCGAAATAACGACGATCTTATAGAACCTGTACAAGTTGACCACATAAAACTGGCCATGCAAATTATTCAAAACGTGTCCTGCGTACGATTTCTGCCTGCAGATGAAAATACCAAAAATTTCGTAGAGGTGAAAGTTTCCTTATCTGGCTGTTGGTCTAATGTTGGTTTCACCGGGGGCAAACAGTTGTTGTCGTTGCCAGACGCAGGCGTGGAGGAGGGTTGTTTTAGGCTGGGCACCATACAGCACGAATTTCTCCATACTCTGGGATTTCTTCACCAACAAAGCTCGCCGGACCGCGATGATTACGTGCAAATCGCTTGGGATAACATCCAACCGGATAATGTATCAAATTTTCTAAAGCACAATTCGTCCAGGGTGGGTAACTTTGGTGCTGCGTATGACTATGGCAGCATTATGCACTACTCCGTATCTGCCTTCAAAAAGAATGCTGGCTTGGACACGATTTTGCCTTTACAACCATTAAATGGTAGACGAATGGGACAAAGAAATCGTATGAGCGACGCCGACATATTGCGCCTCAATAACATGTACAAGTGCAATAATCGTACAGAAATGTCCAATGTATCTGAAAAGGCTATTGAAGAAATTGAAGAAAACTAATCCACCAATGGCAATAACACAATTTTAAAAAAAATCAATAAATACGTTAATGCAAAATTATATAATAAGTTTTGTTTGTTTGGCGGAAAACGTCAGTATGAAAGTTTTTTGTTAATCATCCAATCGATTTAAATCTAATTCTCCAAGATCTTTAAGAGAATTTATTTTAAAAGTGCCACGGGGAATGCCTGGGTATACCCGCTATTATCCTATATAGCCATAAGTCGAAGTTTCCACTTCCGATAACATGGTAAAACTCAATTGAGTCTTTGTTCATGGTTTGGCCTCTAGATCAATCGATGATCAATGAATGCTAATTGATAGTAGGGATCCGTACGAATTCAAAAAGCTATAACATTTCGAAATCAGACATTATTTACCCAAGAAATTCAATAAAAAAATTATCAAAAAAGAGGTATTCCAAAAAATCATCAAAAAAGGTTGACTTTACAAACGAATCGGTAATTGATACTAGGGATCCGTACGAATTCAAAAAGGTATAACATTTCAAAATCAGACAGTATTTACCCAAGATATTCAAGAAAAAATATCAACAAAGTTTTGATTTTCAATTCGACCTCGATTTTGAAAAAAAAAACGTGAGTTTTGGTCAATTTGGGGGGAAATTTAGATTTTCAATTTTTTGATGCCAATCGATAGTACTGATCCTTACGTGTCCAAAATGGTATAAAATTCCAAAATCGAACATTATTTGGCCGAGGTATTCCAAAAAATCATCAAAAGGGGTTGACTTTACAAACGAATCGGTTTTTGGTCAACAAATTTTTTTAACCCATCGATTTTCAATTTGTTTGAATTATAATTGATACTAGGGATCCGTACGAATTCAAAAAGGTATAACATTTCAAAATCAGACAGTATTTACCCAAGATATTCAGGAAAAACCATCAAAAAAGTTTTGATTTTCGATCCGACCGCGATTTTGAAAAAAAGCGTGATGTAACTCCTTGCCATTTTGGTCAATTTGGGTGAAAATTTAGATTTTCAATTTTGTTATGCCAATCGATAGTACTGATCCTTACGTATCCAAAATGGTATAAAATTCCAAAATCGAACATTATTTGGCCGAGGTATTCCAAAAAATTATCAAAAAAGGTTGACTCTTCAAACGAATCGGTTTTTTGTCAACAAATTTTTTTAACCCATCGATTTTCAATTTGTTTGAATGCTAATTGATACTAGGTATCCGTACGAATTCAAAAAGGTATAACATTTCAAAAACAGGCAGTATTTACCCAAGATATTCAAAAAAAACCATCAAAAAAGTTTTGATTTTCGTTCCGACCCCGATTTTGAAAAAAAACGTGATGTAACCACATGCCATTTTGGTCAATTTGGGTGAAAATTTAGATTTTCAATTTTTCGATGCCAATCGATAGTACTGATCCTTACGTGTCCAAAATGGTATAAAATTCCAAAATCGAACATTATTTGGCCGAGGTATTCCAAAAAATCATCAAAAAAGGTTGACTCTTCAAACGAATCGGTTTTTGGTCAACAAATTTTTTTAACCCATCGATTTTCAATTTGTTTGAATTATAATTGATACTAGGGATCCGTACGAATTCAAAAAGGTATAACATTTCAAAATCAGACAGTATTTACCCAAGATATTCAGGAAAAACCATCAAAAAAGTTTTGATTTTCGATCCGACCGCGATTTTGAAAAAAAGCGTGATGTAACTCCTTGCCATTTTGGTCAATTTGGGTGAAAATTTAGATTTTCAATTTTGTTATGCCAATCGATAGTACTGATCCTTACATATCCAAAAGGGTATAAAATTCCAAAATCGAACATTATTTGGCCGAGGTATTCCAAAAAATCATCAAAAAAGGTTGACTCTTCAAACGAATCGGTTTTTGGTCAACAAATTTTTTTAACCCATCGATTTTCAATTTGTTTGAATTATAATTGATACTAGGGATCCGTACAAATTCAAAAAGGTATAACATTTCAAAATCAGACAGTATTTACCCAAGATATTCAGGAAAAACCATCAAAAAAGTTTTGATTTTCGATCCGACCGCGATTTTGAAAAAAAGCGTGATGTAACTCCTTGCCATTTTGGTCAATTTGGGTGAAAATTTAGATTTTCAATTTTGTTATGCCAATCGATAGTACTGATCCTTACGTATCCAAAATGGTATAAAATTCCAAAATCGAACATTATTTGGCCGAGGTATTCCAAAAAATCATCAAAAAGGTTGACTTTACAAACGAATCGGTTATTGGTCAACAAATTTTTTTAACCCATCGATTTTTAATTTGTTTGAATTATAATTGATACTAGGAATCCATACGAATTCAAAAAGGTATAATATATCAAAATCAGACTGTATTTACCCAAGATATTCAAGAAAAACCATCAAAAAAGTTTTGATTTTCGATCCGAACTCGATTTTGAAAAAAAGCGTGATGTAACCCCTTGCCATTTTGGTCAATTTGGGTGAAAATTTAGATTTTCAATTTTTTGATGCCAATCGATAGTACTGATCCTTACGTGTCCAAAATGGTATAAAATTCCAAAATCGAACATTATTTGGCCGAGGTATTCCAAAAAATCATCAAAAAAGGTTGACTTTACAAACGAATCGGTTATTGGTCAACAAATTTTTTTAACCCATCGATTTTCAATTTGTTTGAATTATAATTGATACTAGGGATCCGTACGAATTCAAAAAGGTATATCATATCAAAATCAGACAGTATTTACCCAAGATATTCAAGAAAAACCATCAAAAAAGTTTTGATTTTCGATCCGAACTCGATTTTGAAAAAAAACGTGATGTAACCCCTTGCCATTTTGGTCAATTTGGGTGAAAATTTAGATTTTCAATTTTTTGATGCCAATCGATAGTACTGATCCTTACGTGTCCAAAATGGTATAAAAGTCCAAAATCGAACATTATTTGGCCGAGGTATTCCAAAAAATCATCAAAAAAGGTTGACTTTACAAACGAATCGGTTTTTGGTCAACAAATTTTTTTAACCCATCGATTTTCTTATTGTTTGAATTATAATTGATACTAGGAATCCATACGAATTCAAAAAGGTATAATATATCAAAATCAGACAGTATTTACCCAAGATATTCAAGAAAAACCATCAAAAAAGTTTTGATTTTCGACCGACCTCGATTTTGAAAAAAAACGTGATGCCATTGCCATTTTGGTCAATTTGGGTGAAAATTTAGATTCAATTTTTTGATGCCAATCGATAGTACTGATCCTTACGAGTCCAAAATGGTATAAAATCCAAATCGAACATTATTTGGCCAGGTATTCCAAAAAATCATCAAAAAAGGTTGACTTTACAAACGAATCGGTTTTTGGTCAACAAATTTTTTTAACCCATCGATTTTCAATTTGTTTGAATTATAATTGATACTAGGAATCCGAACGAATTCAAAAAGGTATAATATATCAAAATCAGACAGTATTTACCCAAGATATTCAAGAAAAACCATCAAAAAAGTTTTGATTTTCGATCCGACCCCGATTTTGAAAGAAAACGTGATGCAACTCCTTGCCATTTTGGTCAATTTGGGTGAAAATGTAGATTTTCAATTTTTTGATGCCAATCGATAGTACTGATCCTTACGTGTCCAAAATGGTATAAAATTCCAAAATCAAACATTATTTGGCCGAGGTATTCCAAAAAATCATCAAAAAAGGTTGACTTTACCAACGAATCGATTTTTGTCAAAAAATTTTGTTAACCCATCGATTTTCAATGTGTTTGAATTATCATTGATACTAGGAATCCGAACGAATTCAAAAAGGTATAATATATCAAAATCAGACAGTATTTACCCAAGATATTCAAGAAAAACCATCAAAAAAGTTTTGATTTTCGATCCGAACTCGATTTTGAAAAATAACGTGATGTAACCCCTTGCCATTTTGGTCAATTTGGGTGAAAATTTACAATTTCAATTTTTTGATGCCAATCGATAGTACTGATCCTTACGTGTCCAAAATGGTATAAAATTCCAAAATCGAACATTATTTGGCCGAGGTATTCCAAAAAATCATCAAAAAAGGTTGACTTTACAAACGAATCGGTTTTTTGTCAAAAAATTTTGTTAACCCATCGATTTTCAATGTGTTTGAATTATCATTGATACTAGGAATCCGAACGAATTCAAAAAGGTATAATATATCAAAATCAGACAGTATTTACCCAAGATATTCAAGAAAACAAAAAGTTTTGATTTTCGATCCGACCCCGATTTTGAAAGAAAACGTGATGCAACTCCTTGCCATTTTGGTCAATTTGGGTGAAAATTTACAATTTCAATTTTTTGATGCCAATCGATAGTACTGATCCTTACGTGTCCAAAATGGTATAAAATTCCAAAATCGAACATTATTTGGCCGAGGTATTCCAAAAAATCATCAAAATTTTTTAACCCATCGATTTTCAATTTCTTCGAATGCTTTTTGATAGTACGGATCCGTACTATTATAAAAGGTATAACATTTAAAATCAGACAGTATTTACCCAAGATATTCAAGAAAAACCATCAAAAAAAATTGGTTTTTCGATCCGACCTCGATTTTGCAAAATAACGTGATGTAACCCCTTGCCATTTTGCTCAATTTCGGTGAAAATTTAGATTTTCAATTTTTTGATGCCTATCGATAGTACTGATCCTTACGTATCCAAAATGGATAAAATTCCAAAATCGAACATTAATTTAGGTATTCCAAAAAATCATCAAAAAAGGTTGACTTTACAAACGAATCGGTATTTGGTCAACAAATGTTTTTAACCCATCGATTTTCAATTTGTCTGAATGCTAATTGATACAAGGGATCCGTACGAATTCAAAAAGGTATAACATTTCAAAATCAGACAGTATTTACCCAAGATATTCCAGCAAAACCATCAAAAAAGTTTTAGTTTTCGACCCGACACCGATTTTGCCAAAAAACTTGATGTAACGCCTTGCTTTTTGGTCGATTTGGGTCAAAATCGACACTATTTATATCGGTAGAGATTTACAAAAGTTATGATTACATGTTTGAAGTTA